AGCTCGAAAGATGGCATACTGCCAACACTGGAACTAATTCTATGCGCATTAGGAATTGCGCAAGTCGACCGACACTATTATATGCACGCAATTGCGGCACGCGGAAATGTTTAATGTCTCTCAGTCACATTTCATATAGTTGATTAACCAAAACGGCGCCCAGAAGCAGTAATAAAACGCATAACACATCCTGACGTAGGGCAATTTCAGTTGTTTAAATTACGATTATGATTGATGTCATTATCACGTGCTCAGCGGTGAAGGAAAACATCATGTGGAAACCTGCATAGTTCTAAATAATAACAAAAAAAAATTCTTTCGAAGATATGTGAAGTCCGCCAATCCGCAGTGGGGCCACGTGGTGGACTATGCCCTGATATCCTCTGTATAGAGGAGGCCTTTGCCCAGCAGTGGGACATGTATAGGCTGATGCTTTTGATGTCATCACGCGACTAGTATTAATGTAATAGTTAATGTTGTAATGTAAATAATTTGACAGTTATTTGTTATAATTACATCATGTGTCTATCATAATAATTATAGTTAATTGTTTCTGTATTGTCAGGAATACTTCGCATATTCTTTGGACCATGGCCTAATCGAAACTATGGGCATTGTAACACGATGAACACCGTAAAAAATATTATTAACTTTTATGTTATTAAAAAAACTGTCTTTTGCTAATTTTGTTCAAAAAGCCATTTTTGTTTATAAATGTCATAATAAAGTTTAGCAAGTCGATTTGCGTACAATAGATAGGTAAACGTTTTCACTGTACGAAAACTGAAGACTGTTCCCCGAAAATCGACCTCAGCGACGCCATTCACGCACTATGCGACGCTCGAGCTTGCCAAGTTTTGAAAACAACAACTGAATTGAAAGTTACCGCAAGTGTTCTGCTTGCTTATGCTGAATTTGTGAGCCAAATATTGCGATATTCATGCGTCATTTGCTGGGAGTACCTATGTACGGCCTGGTGTATATAGATTCCATCTTTACGAGCAGTCAAACCTTTGCTATCTTCTCACATTAAAAAAAAAGGTAGACAGTATTTATTAAAAACACGTTTCTCTATCAATAAATAAAGCAGAATGACCAGTTTTGCCATTAAATGAAAAACAATTAAATACTTCATAATTAGATTAGACTAGAGCCGTGATAGCTCAGTGTCCGGGCGCTCGCCTTATTTCAATATATACTCGAGCAACTTGACTTCGATCCCCGGTGCCGGCACCAATGAAGTTTTTATCTTTCAAGTGCTGAATTATCACGTGCTCCGCGGTGAATGAAAACATCGTGAGGAAACCTGCATATTTTCGAAATAATAACAAAAAAAAAATGTATTTAGAAAATATGTGAAGTCCGCCAATCCGCAGTGGGGTCGCGTGGTGAACTATGCCCTGATACCCTCTGTATAGAGGAGGCCTTTGCCCAGCAGTGGGACATGTATAGACTGTTACTTTACTTTACTTACTTCATAATTATTGTACGTAACATTTGAATATATTCAATTACCTATCCAATAAAATAGCAATGTCTATGCACAAATAAATGTAACGAAATGTTAAATGAAAATACGCCATATACGAGTAAATGAAAGAAATAAGGCGGCCCGTTATCGCACAACAATAACTATTGAATAAAATTAATCTATAGAAATTTTCTGGACCACCCAAAGTTGGCTGGGAGATAATGCTGATGGCGTTAACTACACTTACATTCCTGTGTGTGCATAAAGAATAAATAAATAAATAAATTATCGACTTAATTGAATTAATACACTTTTTATTCTTGGATGTGACGTTTTCAATGCTAGTAATTCCTAGTGGATATGAATGTGTCAAAAAATCGAAAAACTTGAGGTGTATACAATAAAACCGATTATATAATTAATGGACCAAAAAATTATTTCAAATTTAGAAATATTTTCGGTAACACGTAACATACTTAATTCGCAGTCTATATAGCGACCATAAATCAACACAGTTCTAACGCTACTTGCGTTATTAATATCTTTAAAAAAACATAAAAGTTAATAAACTCCCATAAATAGAAAAAAGATAATTTTCAAACAAAATTAATAAATAAAAAACAATCAAAATTTGTATACAACTACAACTGACCGATTCATATGTTCAGAGACTTTTTCATTCGTTGCCACAACGTTACATATAATATAATGTAATGTTCTAACAGTATGTTTTATCTCTTTTAAATTCATTTAAGCAATTCATAGAATTTTATGTTACAGTTTTATGCGTACGGGTGTTTTTAAATTACATGGAAAATCTAATAACTCGGTAAATATTCATGTTTAGCGAAAGTTAATACAATTTTGGAAAATTAACCTCTATAACTGTGTGTGTTAGAATTCGTTAAGTGGTAACTCAGTGCATCAGTTGTCAATATGTAAATCTGTCCGTTTGCGTATGTATTGCGAAGTTTTGTCACGAATTTATTTACAAGAGACAAGCTTTTCAAATGGACAATCTTAACGACCACGGCCTCTATATGGATCTCCCTCCCGATTCCCGCCACAGAACAAACCAACTCCTTAATATGATGAAGTAGAACAAAAATAATCAAATGTTGCCTGAATTGTGGCTACGATGCTACGAACACATTTGTTAGAATTTTCTGAATTATGTAAACTTTTACATTGTATTCATGAATAGTTAAGGCATTTGTATCTCAAAAATCCTAAATATTTTTAACCAGTTAGTTTTACATTTATTAAATAATCATCTCCATATACTTTTGTATGTGCAGTGCACACATAGTACTGAAGTGTCTATTGATTATGGGCGTCTCCCTTTCAATACTTATCAAATGTGAATTCGTCTAAAGCTGCTCAAAGAGATTTCGGAGCCCTCTTTTTCCACGCTCCGCTTACAGACGCTGAGTGCTTTAAATGTAAAGTTGCAAGAAACCACAAAATATTTTTCTTAATTCATTCGTTCGGATATATATTACTAATACTAGCCCGAGATGTGGTGCTATGTTAGAAAACCGAATTGTTATATTTTTGATCAATATTGGACATAAATATTAATTTGTACGCAGTCCTAGCGGCTGCTTGTAGTATGCACTTTTCCTTTAAGGTACTTCTTTTTAATTTTTGGGGATGAGCTTTATATTTTCTTATGCCAAAACCCTGCATCAATTGACATTGTCAATTGTACAATGACATTAGAAGCAAAAACTTAATGAATAGTGGAGATTTGTGTAATGTTCTCGAGCAACCTTAGTTCTATCCCGGGTGCCAGCAACAATGAAATTGTTAATATTAATTGAAGAAACCTGCATATTTTCGAAATGATAAGAAAAAAAGATTTCGTGGGGTCGCGCGGTTGACCATATAGTGGGATATTTATTAGCTGTTACTTTACTTTATATGTATAACTAACATCTAACAATCTGTACACCAACCGTTTGCATTACATAGGCATGTTTATTTAAGTATCATATGAGGAGATTGTAAAATATTATTATTATATTTGCAAGAAACTGGATCGAGAACTCTGTATTCGATCTACGGACTCAACATAAATGACTCCAACATAGATAATATGCCGTCTAACATAAATGTTACGGTATCGTTACTACGCTAAGTGTATGCTGCAGTGGAAATCCTTATTCAAGCTCTTAACGACACATTAGCATTAAATCGTTAAGGTTTTGGCTTCAATGAAAGGCGTAAATTTCTCTCCATGCTATGATGCTCCTGAACGCAAAACTGTATTAACTAATGTTTGAGCTCGGGTAGATTTTTATGTTTTTTAAATAATTCATTTCATGAAATAATACTTAATAGCAATAGTATTATTTGATGATTTGAAAGTTACTTTTTGTTAAAAATAACTGTTTTATCGATATAATCTTGTTCATTTGGTTTTAATTCCCGAAGTTTTGAAAACTATAGATTCTACAACTGTCTACTTTTGTGATGAGTTTCCTTTATGCGATCGAAACATAATGTGTTTACAGTATCTAACAAAAACTCTTTCGATAGTCCCTGGAATTATATTTCCTTCTTGTTATAATTTGAAATCTATACTTTTAAAATATTACTCAAGTAGTTTATTGAACTAAGTTTGATTTATCTAAACTCAAACCCTTAATTTGATTCCGGTCAAAATTAAATTGCTGTGGTCATTTGATAGTTTGAATGAAAAATCTTTACGCGAACAGGTAAACCGAATGATTTTTAAAGACGATTAACCTCAAAAGTGCGCTATATTCTTCTGCAGTTAAACTGTTCTTACTTTAAACAATTTTAATGAAATGTTACTTCTTTTATAAATTCAGGAGTCAGGTTGACTATTACCAATCGATAATTGCTGTGAAAGATTATTTTTTAATCTTTATTAATATGATATTGTCAATCTGATTGCTGAGTAACATTATATTATTCAAATTGAACATTACGATGTATTACTCTAAAGCTTATATTTGCATTAAGTATTTCCTCTCGAGATTTTATCCATTTTCATTTTAGTGCTACATAATGATATATATTTTTACGCGAATATTACACATTGTTAAATAAAACTAATTTGCGGATTGTGTCGCTTTCAATTTTGATTTTAATGCCCAACGTGTTGAACTCTTTACTGAGTATGGACTCAGTAAAGAGTGCGGACATGGGTCCGCAGGACAGACACACAGTCGTAAAGGAAAAATCAATTATTTAACAATATGAGCCACATATGAAAAAAAGTTCATCAACAAAAACAAAAATAATTTGTTTGAACGAAAATAGAGTAATGTATAATAATGACCGTCACAACAAACTATGTTTTATTTCATGGTCAATATATGAAATAATATTAGGCATCAATGAATACAGATTTGATAAATGTTACACAACTGCCCTAGAAACGGATCGGTCACTAACATAACAAACGAAATGAAACCAGACTCGATTGCCGCGCCCATTGTATTTTTGTCTTCGTTTTGTTTGTGTAATGTCTTGTGATTAACGAACGTTGTTGTTTCAGGCAGTCGGCCGATGTAAGCATAAATCCGAAATGAGATGAGCATGCGCGTGTCGTGGGCCAGATGGTATTGGATCGTTATATTCACAACGTGTACCGCGAGGACTGCCAGCGATTGGCTGGACTGCGCCCACATCTCAACCTGCCGCTGTAAGTGGTCGTCGGGCAAGAAAACAGCCACGTGTGCCTCCGGTGACCTCCGCCGACCGCCATCTCTCTCGTCGGACATCCAAGTATTGGATCTTCACGACAATCCGCTGAGGAATCTACCGCAGGGGATCTTTTCAAACATCGGCCTACTTAATTTGCAACGTATCAATTTGAAAGCAACGAAACTTCGGTCCATACACGCTGACGCATTCATAGAGCTGAGGATTTTGATCGAAGTGGATTTGGCCGACAACGACTTATCGGTTCTACCGCGTGACATTTTCAGGGGCAACGAACGATTGAGACTAGTAGTGTTAAGTAATAATCCTCTAACTAATTTAATTGCCGACCAGTTTCCTTCACTGCCTCACCTTCGTATGTTGCTATTAGATGGTTGTCGGCTCAGATCAATACACACAAAAGCTTTGAGAAATCTTAGATCATTGGAAACTATTGACTTGAGGAGAAATCAGCTAACATTCTTACGACTGATAACGTTCTCATTGCCAGCTCTAAAAACGATGTCATTATCAGGAAATCCTTGGAGATGCGATTGCCGGCTTCGGGAATTTCGGGACTGGTTTTTAGATAGTAAATTGGGAACTGAGGAGTTGTTATGCGTAGAACCAACACCTCAGGCTGGAAACAAATGGCGGAATGTTCCAAGTGAAAACATGACGTGTGCCCCAGAAGTGCGGTCCAGTACATTAGTTGTAAGGGCTGAGGTTGGATTGAGGGTTTCCTTTGGGTGTTGGGTTCATGGTATTCCTAAGCCGCAAGTGACATGGTTATTCGATGGAATTAATATTCACAATAGTACTTTAGATTGCGACATGGAAGAAATTGATACAGTAGTGGAAAATGACAATTCGGAAGATAGAGTGCCTGGTAGTGTTAGATGGGTAAATATAACATTGTTAAACGTGACATCTAGTGTTGCCGGAGAGTGGACTTGTGTAGCTAAAAGCTCGGCAGGGGAAGACAGAGCGGTGATTAGTTTGGTGCTGCCTCGATCTCAAACGGCAACAGCTCGCACGGCACCAGGTATTCCACAACTTCTAGGTGTTGTTTTTGGTGCTCTAGGTGCTCTAGCTGCTCTAGGATTTATCGCCGCATTTGCTTGTTGGCATTTGAGAAGACGCACCGTGCCACCCAGTCGAAGTTTCATGGATCAAGAAAAACGTTTGATAGACGCATCAGTTGTCGTTAGCTGCGACCGTTCGATCGCTGACATGGCTTCCCCTTGTAACTTCGAACTAACCGAGCGATCTTTATCCGTCGACAACGATCAACCGAGAGGTTGCGGCTTCGATCCCGTTCACATCACTATAGAGGGTACCCCAGGATTATTTCCACCGCCACCTGCGGAGTTTGCGGTACCGGTGCCGTATGGAAACATTTTTATCTCGGTCCAAGTAGCCGGTAGAGGTGAACCCGGAAAGTACCCAGATTTGTTGAGTGGTGGAGCAACTTTACCACGACGGACCAGAACATGTTGCAATGCGCCTGCTTATGATAATATGGGCCCGAGAGTAACGGCAACTGGAAGCTCTACCTGGTCATTGCCTGGTGCAAGTTGTGAAAATCCAGAGCCATCCGAAACCCCTGTATTGAGTTTACCACCTCCACCACCAGAATTCGTCTCCCTTTAGCCTAGGGTCCTGGTACTGGACCCCTCGGCCCTGAGGTGACCAGGTACCTACTATATTTGAGTCAATTAGACTATTTCCCAGTTTTATTGTAATTATAATAATTTTGTCGTAATTAATCATTTAAACTGTAAATATGAAGAATGAATGGCGTGAACGTTTGGCATCTCGTGAGTTAAGAAATATTGAAGTGTTGTTATCAATATTAAAAGTTAAAATTTATCTATAAAGATCATCTTGTTATTTGTACGGTGGGAGATTGATGATTGGTGTGTGAAAGATTTCGATCTTGACCTATTTATTTCCTAGATATTTCTTTAAGTCATTCGCATATGTGTCTTCCCAACTTTTGTAAATATTGTTTATTCGTATTATACAATTTTCCCAAATATAAGACTGACCCTTTTATCTTATTTTCGTCCCTCTTTCTAGCGAGTATGAATGTTTAAAGCTATACAATTCAACTAGTGTCAAAAGTAAGCTTCTAAGCGTTTTATTTCAAAAGCAGATAATATTAAAATAAACAGATGAAACACAAACTTTGGTTTTATTAACAATGACAGTAAACATCTTTTTTTTCCTTTTTTGATTGTCCACTACATCGAAACCTTTACATAATTTGATTACTAATTCAAATTTATTTTAAAAGATGACTTATTTTGTACTGATAGTAGCACTTATTACATAACAGCAGTACAAACTTTTTCGATTTTGCAATTAATTACAAATTAATATGTTTCTTTACTGATCCAAGATTTTCTTCGTCATGTCAACCAAGTGCTTACAAGCTTTGACCGAGCTCACAAATACTTGGAGATAAACTATACGTTTAAAAAAATTACATTTGTATTGATTCAAGCATGTTATGATTTAGATTAAGGTGAATTCCTTGATTTAATTTACTTTTAAGTATGGTATTGGTTACATATAATCTAATAATTATTATGTTTATGATATCACCACCAGTTCCATCATCTTAACCTGTTTAATTTATTACGAGATCAGCGAGTTGTCTCTTTTTCTTTGTTGATCGCGTTTCATTCCAAGTTTTAATCGTGCCTAGTCGTATTCTCTCTCCTTTATTACATACCAATATCCTAATGCGATGTTAACATTTTGTAATTTTAATTTCAAACCTTATTTGCTGTCGAGTCAGAATTAGTAAGGTTTCAAAGAAAACTGGAGCCACATTAAGAATAACAAAAAGACGTTTACGATCGCGAATGATTTGATATAAGATCCTGTCTTCTATCAACTCCTTCGCTAATTTCATGAGTTATGGATACGATTACTAAGTTACATCATTATATCATTTACCTCTTCCTAGATTGGTCAGAAACTCTTTTAACAGATATGGCGAGTGTAAGTCTTGCCGTCAATATGTTGGGGCAAATGTTTGGTTATGATAAAAACATTAAATGCATATAAAAATAATAAATATCCATAATATAGTACAAAATGTATATTTATACGTTCTTAATTGAAAAAGTTGTTATATATTATCGAACTTTATCCATATAACTGATTATCAGATGAGCAAATTCCTACCTGGACTTTAGCTAAGTACGCATTATTCGGCAATTTTCGAGGAAGGGCGTTCCAGAGTCGAGCTCTGAGGTTGAAGTTGAGGTAACACAGAAAAATTTAGAGGGAAAACCTGTACGAAGAGAAAAAGAGAAGGAGGGTAAGTAAAGTAAGATTATCAACAGATAGAGGATTGCAGTCCTTAAATATAGATTTCAGATAGTCGGATCGTTAACGACTCGGTGTCGCAGTTTCTAAACTATTGGCTTCGGTGCCATAGGTCGTGGGTTCGATTCTCGCACAGGATAATTATTTGTGTGACCCACAGATAATTGTTTCGGATCTGGGCGTATGTTTCGAAGGAGGGTTGACGTCAGTCAGACGGCCAGCCGTAAAAATCTTAGCCAAAAAATCTACAACATGGTTCATATGTTGTGCCAACCCCACTTATGTGAGTTAAGGATAGGAAGATGATTATGATATTCGGATGGTTAATGATATTAAAAGGAGACTTCTCTTTAAGTCTCCTTTTAATATCCGAAGATTCCGTCGTTGAGAGATATTCAACGACTTTAGTTGAGAGTTATACGGAGAAATATGGTCAAACTTCCGAATACCATGAAACGAATACATTGATTGAGGGTAAGATCCAATTTGCTAAGAATATCAGTGTTTGCATCTGAATAATACACACCAGCGTAGACTAAATGTAGAAATTTAAGGTGACATTAAAATGTATCAATTTAAAATTCGCTTCTATGTATTATATCAACGACGACCCGATTGGCGTGTGGAGTAGTGATCCTGCCTCCTGCGCCCTAGGGTGTAGGTTCGATCCCCACTACTGGAAAAATATTTTGTGTTGAACATCGTGTTTTTCCAGTGTCTGGGTGTTTATATAATTATGTATAATATGTATTTATTTAAAAAAAAAAGTATGTTTAAGTATGTCTATCAGTTTTCTAGTAACCATAGTACAAGCGTTGCTTAGATTGGGACTAGAGCTGCTTTTTCAATAATAAGATAAAAATGCATTTTTATGCGCAGTTGTAATGAAATAAGATTCGCAACGGAGATAATAACGCGATTCGGAGTTATCCCACGTCCCTTTATTTCGGTACGTTAAACCCGAAATACCTACGATACATCGCACACGCAAGCCATATCGATGGCATAAATAACCAGACACGTGCCGTCTCCGCAATGCGGACAACCGTGATTTGAGTACGCATTTGCTTAATTCAGGTACTGTCGCCGGCTGGACAACAGGCAGACTCAAAAGCTCTACACAAATATATAACACTATATCACAACAATACCATAATCCACGATTGTTACAAGTTTCTGCCATCGCTTAGTAATGATTACACACTGTTAATTTTGAGGTAGAAAGCTGGGAAACACCCTTTAAAAAGAGACAGACAATAATATGTTAATTGCTCGTACCCAGATTTTGAACTTGTCGATTTGTTAAAGGAATATAAATTCAAATATTAAATTGATACAGGTTACTTGTTTATTGTTTATATTCCAAACTTAACGACGATAGATAAAAGTTCGAAAAACGGTCACAAACATATATCATTCTGTCCACAGACAACTATTATAGTCGTATTGTAAATTTGTCTCCGCATTCTATTCTCAAAGGAAACAAAATAAGAATGATTGAAAGTACTTTTAAGAAGTTTTTTTATCAACAATTAATTCATTTCATTAGTCATGTTTTAGTCATACACTATTTTTCGACATATCACTCCCATTATACGTTGCCTAGCCCCTAAACCATAATATAATAGTCATAACATAGGTCAAGATTATGCAATAACAATGGCAATAATTTTATAGTAGCATAGTATCATGACCATTGACGTTTTTAGAATCTAATCACGAGCAATTCTTGTGTATATATATATAATCGGAATATCGGAAACGGCTCCAGCAATTTTCATGAAATTTAGTATGTGCGTAGATTCGGGGGCGAAAAATCGATCTAGCTAGGTTTCATTTTTAGAAAATATCCTTTTATCTCTGTTTTCAGGGAATGAAAAATATCATCGAATATGACAGTAGATTTCACCGCAAAAAAAAATGTTATAATAGCTCGGTCGGTAATCGGGCGGCCCTGAAATAGAAGTACGTGGTTCGTGTCACGATCATTTACACACTCTTTTTTTTTACTTTTTTTCGATTCCAGATCATTGCTTTCTTTATTTTTTATTTTTTGTTGATCCAGATGATTTTGTTATTTTTTTCCCTTTTTATTTAAAGTTGTTTCTTTTGTGAAAAATACCACTTCGTATTTTCTTATTATTAGATTGGTAAGATCGAAAAATATTATGCATATTTCATTACTCAGTAATTTGTATCTAAATGTAATTTCCAAAATACACGATTTACAAAAAAAAAGGGCCTCCAGGTACTATGTAATGAAAAGTCATAACATAGGGAACATGTAATGAAATAAAAATAATAATTCGGTAAACATTAAGATTGATTATAATAACAATTGAACTTGATACGAATAGTTTTAATGCATTTACATGCTTTATATTTATTTAAATTTGTACTAAGTACATTTTCGTACTTATGATATTTTTTGCGTAAATAAATAATCAATACTATTTCTATAATTAGATATTATATGAGTAGAACTAAACTGCGTAACCATAAAACATAAAAATGAATTAAATCACGCCCAAACGATAGATTATGTTGGTGGAACATTTTGGTGTTATTGATTTATCTTGACTATGCTGCCCATGTTGGGCCAAAATGATACACATGCAATGCATTTTCCGAAATGATTTTGCAAAAAAAAAATAGTAGGAGCCAGTAGTTTACATTACAGTAATATATGACACGTAGGTAGTTCCCTGACTACTCTCTTTATAAGCTTTTCTTAGTTTTCACAAGTTGATCCCAGTATCCGTAAATAAGTATTTCAGATCATTGCGGGTGTATCCTACGTCCCTAAAGTTTACAAAAGATAACTAGTAAGTGTACTTCCATAGCAGTCAAGGGGGCACATACGTGGATATAATTATTATTGTTCGAGAAACTGCACTGCATCAGGTCATTAGGAGACGGGAGGATGGAGAGGAAACAGATATAAAGAGGTAGTTGGACCTCAGCTTATTGCAGTTGCTTACTTTTATGACGCAATTTCATCTCGTCGTTTTAGGAAGCTCAATTGCTTTGATATTTGAGGTTAGACGTTGGTCTTAGCGAGTAAAAATACGTTAATGTGTGAAAAATCACGATGAAATAACGGTTTTATTAAACGTAAGATTGAACCATTCTACATATGTTTGTAAGATACTAAGTATACTACGTTTTTCTTTGATGTTCATTAATCCGTTACTGAGATCATAGTTTAAGGAAATACGTGTAAGAGGCAGCATGGTTTTCATCGTTGGAGTTTTGCAGTAGAGTTTACTTACGTTTTCATCATCAATTACAACAAAAAAAAAGTATTT